TTCAGCCTGGAGGCAAGCGTTGCATCATGGCCTCTCCTAATTTGAAGAGACCCTTATTCCAGAGGAAGTCACAAAAGCAGTAAAATCAGGGAGCTGGTCAGGGGACAGATGGATTTGTCTTCAGTGTGGAAGGGATTGTCACTCTTGAATCCGCCTCCTCAGCCACACTAGACGTTGTTCCAAGTCCTCCATACAGAGCACATTACCATAGTCTTTCATGACTGAAGGATGCCTAACCCCAATGAAGTACACTAGTAAAGCAGTAATAATATGTACTATTAAAGGCAAGTTAAACAACTGATTTGAATGGCTGGCCAGAATCCTGCTGCTGATTTATGCATGTGTAAATATATAAAATTACACAAGAGATAATTTCAGTCTTGACAATTAGGAAATCAGAAGAATTAAAGATTCTCTTGACAATAATTCAAGCATTAAACTACCGTATTTGCCGGCGTATAAGACAACTGGGCGTATAAGATGACCCCCCCAACATTTCCACTCAAAATATAGAGTTTGTTATATACCCGCCATATAAGACCACCCCCTCTTCCGCATACCTTCCACACACCAAATAAAAAGTGCTACTCATTGTCACCATTGTATGACCACAGCGTGACCGCAGCGCCTCCAGCCCACCCCTGCATCTCCCTGTGACCGGCACAAGTGCACATGTGTGAGCTCTGTGTAGACAAGGGGCGGGCTGGAGCACCGCTGCTTCCCGCCGAGCAGAACGGGCCGGTCACGTCAAAAAGGCTGGCACCCCTGTCTCGCTGCTGATGCTCGCTACGACCGCTCTGGATACCGCACAATACTGGACGGTATGTAGAATGAGGTGGGCAGGCATCGGGACGCTACTATGGGCACCGGGCAAGCATCGGAAGGCCACTATGGGCAGCTATGTCTATACCAACTGAAGTGCACCTGGCATATAAGAAGACCCCCCCACTTGGTGGCATGTTTTTCAGGCAAAAAAGTAGTCTTATACGCCAGCAAATACAGTAAATAGAGACTGCAGCCATGAAATAAAAATAAGACTGAGATCTCCTAGAACAGTTATCAAGAAACTAGAAGAAATTCTTAAAGAGTATGGATGAGTCACTGGATACCACAAGCAAAATCATCCAAACTATGGCATTACCAACTACTGTATACTGCTGTGAATGCTGGGCAATGAAGGAAAGTGACCGGGCAAAATGATTACTTTGAAATCTAGTGTTGGGAGAGAGCTTTACAAAAACCACAGACCACCAGAATGACAAATAAATGGGTGTTAGATCAAATCAATCTGACATTTCCTCCAAAAATGAAAATGACTAAACTGTGGTTACCATATCATGTTAAGACAAGACACACTGGAAAAGGCAATAATACTATCAAAAGTTGAAGACAACAGGAACAGGACAAGACTAAATATGAGATGGACTGACAGACTAAAAGAAGACATGGCTTATAGGTTGCATTACCTAAGGAGGAATATTAATCATAGGACCTTTGGAAGATCACTAATTCATAATGCCATGATAAATTGGAAGCAACTTGATGGCACTTAACAAGAACAATGAAAGAAAGTACTGTATATGTTTGCTTTTCTCTGCCTTACCTCCAAGACATAAAATCTAGATAGTGAAACCTGATGCATTCATTAATGGGACCTCAGGAGTATGCATCTTGGGTAGGGACAGTTAAATTGACTAATTAATGTAAGTTAATTTGCATGATTCAAATTTCTATATGCCCTCCATGGCCCTCAACAAATAATTAGGAATACATGATGTGCATGGTTTGGTAGGCCACATGCTCAATACGGGAACTTGGAAAGATAGTTTGCCAGAGCCCTACTTGTGGCCAAATTTATAAGTTACGGAATTAGGAATACAAAAATGTGAATACAAAAATGAAACAAAAAATGAAGCTTTCACGTTTTTCACTTTTGTTACCATGAAACAATTGTGTTTGAAGTGAACTCTTTCAGGGAACACAAAAATAAATGTTAAAACTAGAGCCCAGATTGCTAACATGCTCTGGATTATGGAGAAAGCCAAAGAGTTCCAGAAGAACATCTACTTCTGCTTCATCGACTACACAAAAGCATTTGACTGTGTGGACCACAGCAAACTATGGCAAGTCCTTAAAGAAATGGGAGTGCCTGACCACCTTATCTATCTCCGGAGAAACCTATATGTTGGACAGGAAGCAACAGTTAGACCTGGATATGGAACAACTGATCGGTTCAAAATTGGGAAAGGAGTACGACAAGGCTGTATATTGTCCCCCGGCTTATTTAACTTATATGCAGAATACATCATGCGGAAGGCTGGACTGGAGGAATCCCAAACCAGAATTAAGATTGCCGGAAGAATTATCAACAATTTCAGATATGCAGATGACACCACTCTGATGGCAGAAAGTGAGGAGGAATTAAAGAACCTTGTAATGAGGGTGAAAGAGGAGAGTGCAAAAAACGGCCTGAAACTCAACATCAAAAAAACTAAGATCATGGCCACTGGTCCCATCACCTTCTGGGAAATAGAAGGGGAAGACATGGAGGCAGTGACAGATTTTATTTTCCTGGGCTCCATGTTCACTGCAGATGGAGACAGCAGCCACGAAATTAAAAGACGACTGCTTCTTGGGAGGAAAGCGATGACAAATCTTGACAGCATCTTAAAAAGCAGAGACATCACCTTGCCAACAAAAGTCCGAATAGTCAAAGCTATGGTTTTTCCTGTTGTGATGTATGGATGTGAGAGCTGGACCATAAAGAAAGCTGACCACCAAAGAATTGATGCCTTTGAATTATGGTGCTGGAGGAGGCTCTTGAGAGTCCGCTGGACTGCAAGGAGAACACACCTATCAATTCTAAAGGAAATCAACCCTGAGTGCTCACTGGAAGGACAGATCCTGAAGCTGAGGCTCCAGTACTGTGGCCATCTGATGAGAAGAGAAGACTTCTTGGAAAAGACCTTGATGTTAGGAAAGTGTGATGGCAAGAGGAGAAGGGGACGACCGAGGATGAGATGGCTGGACAGTGTCTGCGAAGCAACCAACATGAAATTGACAGAACTCCGGGAGGCAGTGGAAGATAGGAGGGCCTGGCGTGCTCTGGTCCATGGGGTCACATAGAGTCGGACACGACTAAACGACTAAACAGCAACATCAACAAGTAC